AAACTCCTGGACTCAAGCCTCAGCCTCCCAAGTAGCTGGGTCTACAGGCGCCCACCACAATGCCCAGGTACCATCACAGTCTTTTTTCTTCTCTTTTTTCTTCCTACTATCACATTTATTCATCGAGTATCTATTATGTGCAAGGTATGGGACGAGGAACTGAGAAAACGTGGGAACAGAATCAGAAATAGCACCGTAGTTGTGAGATCCAATATATTTGTATTCCCTTCTTATTATAAAACTGTAAGTTCATTGCAGATAGTTTTGGAAATGTAGAAATAAAGAAAAAAGAATATAAAAACAATTGTAATCTTATAATTCAGAGTAATATGAATTGCTCACTAATGACTTTTTCATGTCCCTTTTCTATGTGTATATGTATTTATAGGCAATACCTGATTACATTTTTGAGTCTGTACTAGGATTGATTGTGGCCACATCAGACATAGTGTTAAGAATAGGCAAGATAAACAGTGTGACGTTTTGGTTTTCCAGATCTCTTAAGAAAGTCTGAATTCAACACATGACATACATTTTAAGAATGTCATTTTATGATATACAAGTACATTAATATTAAGTCAAACTTGCAGAAACTTAGAACTTGTTTATATATGTGTTTTATTTACCCTATTGAAAGTATTTGAATTTATACCTGACTTTTTTTGTAAGCAGATGCAAGAGTCTGTCCCAGGACTTACCACTTTTAGTGGCAGAAAATCCTATCTTTGTGTGTGTCTCTGTGTGTGTGAGAGAGAGACAGAGTCTTATTCTATTGTACTGGGTAGAATGCTCTGGTTTCATAGCTCACAGCAACCTCAAACTTTTGGCTACAGCAACTCTCTTACGTAAGCTTCTCAAGAATCTTGAATTACAGGCACCTGCCACAATGCTGGGATAGTTTTTGTATTTTTAGTATAGGCAAAGTCTTGCTCTTGCTCAGACTGGTCTCAAGCTCCTGGGCTCAAGCAAGCCACCTGCCTTGACCTCCCAGAGTGCTGAGATTACAGGCGTGATCTCACTCGCCTGGCCCTGAAAATCCTCTTTATATCTTAAATCTTTTTTTTTTTTTTTT